CGAGCGGCCGCCCGAGCAGCTGCAGCAGAGCGAGGGCGTCATCTACAGCGGACTTCGTGGCGCGCCCCCGGGACACCGATGTGACACAGTGTACAGTGTACATCATGCAGTGGCATGCACACACGCATCTCTCTCTTTTCCGTGCATAACCGTGTTTTGTCCACAGTACGCCGCCCAAGGCGAATACCGAAATGGAGCGGCGAGAGAGGAGGGGTGGGCGAGAGCAAAAAAGACAGCGCACAGAGACTCGTCCCCACGACGCTCACAAAAAAAGAACCTCGGACCTAAGGAACGACCACGGCGAGGAGCGGCAAAGTGCCAAAGCCAGCGGAATGGCCGCGCGAAATACACACGGCCCATGTGCAACAGTGTTTAAATGTACTCCACCAACACCGTTTCCGACCCAACTTCCGCGGCCGGCGACGGCTCTGGAGCCTCGCCGACCGCCCGCGCGTAGGCCACCGCCGCGTCCACCGCCGTGCCAAAGTTGCCTACGGCTGTGGCTACCGTAGGCCACACTTGCGAGGGGCCGCTTATCCGAAGACACGGCATCTCTTCGGCCAGCGTGCACTTCGCCTCATCCCCCAAAGACGCAAAGAGCCGGAACCCAGAGATGATGAGTGCTTGCGAGCTTAGCAGCGGCGCAGGATCCCTGAGCTGCTCCGACGCGGCCGTGCTAGCGGCTGAGCGAGGCGAGGAGGAGGCGGTGCTGGCGTGGCTCGAGGGCGGCGGGCGGGCCGACGCGACGTACGAGAGAGGCAAGGTGAGCGGCCTCACGCTGCTGATGGGCGCCGCCGTCGAAGGCCACGAGCGGGTGGTCGAGCTGCTGCTGCAGCGCGGCGCGGAGATCAACCTGCAGAGCAGCAACGGCGGCACCGCGCTGATGGCTGCCGCTGTCGGAGGCCACGAGCGGGTGGTCGAGCTGCTGAATCGGCGCGGCGCTGAGGTCAACCTGCAGGACAGCGACGGCTGGACCGCACTAATGCTCGCCGCCGAGAACGGCCACGAGCGGGTGGTCGAGCTGCTGAATCGGCGCGGCGCTGAGGTCAACCTGCAGTACAGCGACGGCAGCACCGCGCTGATGTTCGCCGCCCACCAAGGCCACGAGCGGGTGGTCGAGCTGCTGCTACAGCACGGCGCTGAGATCAACAAGCAGGACAGCGACGGCGTCACCGCGCTGATGCTCGCCGCCGGCAACGGCCACGAGCAGGTGGTCGAGCTGCTGCTGCAGCACGGCGCTGAGGTCAACCTGCAGAGCACCAAAGGCTTCACCGCGCTGATGGGCGCCGCCAACCAAGGCCACGAGCGGGTGGTCGAGCTGCTGATACGGCACGGCGCTGAGGTCAATCTGCAGAACAGTGACGGCTGCACCGCGCTGATGCTCGCCGCCGACAAACGCCACGAGCGGGTGGTCGAGTTGCTGCTGCAGCACGGCGCTGAGGTCAACCTGCAGGACAGTGACGGCTGCACCGCGCTGAGGCGCGCCGCCGGCAACGGCCACGAGCGGGTGGTTGAGCTGCTGATTCGGCACGGCGCTGAGATCAACCTGCAGAGGAGAGACAGCAGCACCGCGCTAATGTGCGCCGCCTACTACGGCCACGAGCGGGTGATCGAGTTGCTGCTGCAGCACGGCGCTGAGGTCGACCTGCAGGACAGCAGAGGCGGCACCGCGCTGATGGGCGCCGCCTACAACGGCCACGAGCGGGTGGTCGAGCTGCTGATACGGCACGGCGCTGAGGTCAATCTGCAGAACAGCGGCGGCGGCACCGCGCTGATGGGCGCCGCCTACAGCGGCTGCCCCGCCGTCGTGCTCCGCCTGCTTCGGGCTGGCGCAGATGCAAAGGCTCGCGCTGCAGACGGCAGGTCCGCGCTGCAGATCGCCAAGGAGCAAGCGGTCAAGGTGCAAGCTACTTCCGACGCCGCCAGTGCTTCTGAAACGGACCACGCCGGGTGCGTGCGCGCTCTCACAGAGCACGCAGCGGCGCTGAGGGAGGCGGAGGCGGCCGAGAAGGCGGCCGAGAAGGCGCTCGAGGCCAAGGGGCGGCGCGAGCAGCGCGAGCGGGAGGAGGCGGCGGCGGCGCGAGAGCGCGAGCAGGCGGCACGCAGGCGCGAAGCAGAGCGAGCGGCGGACGAGGCGCGCCGGGCGGCGGATGTGGCGGCGCTGGAGGAGCAGAGGCGAGCCATTGCGGCGGAGGCGGAGGCGAAGCTGGCCGCTGAGCGCGCGGCAGCAGAGGAGACACTGCGGGCGAGGGAGGCGGAGAGGCTTGCGGCTGAGGAGGCGCAGCGAGTGGAGCAGCGGGCGGCTGCGGCGGCGCGCAAAGGCGCTCAGGCAGAGGCGGCGCGGCGCGAGAAGGAGGCTGCTGACAAGAGGGCGGAGGAGGAGAAGGCGAGGCGGCGCGCAAAGGCGGCGGAGGCAACGGCGGCCAAGAAGGAGGCCAAGGCGAAGAACAATAAGGCCAAGAAGGCGCCGTCTGCTTTCGCGCTCGAGGAGGAGCGGAGGGCGAAGGTTGCGGCAGAGCTTCGCGCACAGGAGGAGAGGGCGGCGCAGCTGGCTGCTGAGCAGGAGGCGGCGAGGCGGGCGGAGCGGGAGGCGGCAGAGCGAGCGGGCGCGGCAGAGCAGGCGGCGCTGCGCGAGGATGCGGAGCTGGCAGAGGCGCTGCGCCGGTCAGAGGTGGATGCGGAGGAGGCGCTGGCGCGTCGGGTGTCGCGGTGCGAGGAGGCGGTGAGCAGCGAGTCGACCGGCGGCGGCGGGGACTTGCCGCAGCGTGTCGAGCGGCTGGAGGCGAGCCTCGGCGCGGCGACCGAGGGCAGCCTCGAGGAGCGGGTCGGCGCCATCGAGCGTTTGATCGGGCCAGAGGCGGGAGAGGCGGCGGAGCAGCATCTGCCAGTCACCGAGCCGCTTGCTGCCGTCTCACTAGCGGACGCCGGCCTCGACACGGGGCGGCCGGCTGCCCCCGAGTCCACGATGGGGGGAGAGACCACGTGTATCGTGTGTTTCGCGAGAGTCAAGTCGCATGCTGCGGTTCCGTGCGGGCACTTGTGTGCTTGCGGGCCATGCTCTGAGCTGATGCGAGAGTGCCCTTACTGCCGCGAGCCAGTGATGATGTGGATGGTGCCGCGTCCGGTCTAGATTATGT